ATATATATATATATAGTGCTGCCAACATCGACCAGCGATAATATTCAAAATCTAACATAATATAGCAAACTCGATTGGACGACGGAAACCAAGAGGAAGATAAGAAAATGGATAATGATGAGAACTCTCGGGGGAGACGGTTAATCCTTTTAGACGATACTGCACGTGAGGATTAAGCTAATAGCTTTTACATTTCGATAGAGTTAAAAATTGAGAGATGTTATTATGCTAGACTTCCGTGAACATTTCGTGCTTACATGCTGTTATGCATGCTAATTATCATTTTCATTATTATAATCTTCAATAAACGGACAGGAATAAATTTCTCTTGTATATGAAATGAGTTTACGTACATATTACGTACACGTACATATTATATTACATTGATAAATTACGTTAATAAGTTTAGTTATACATGTATATATGTATATATAGAGAGTTAACGTATGTATATATAGAGATTCTCTGTACGTTACTCGCAGAAACGGATACTTAAAAATATGAAGCAGTTTAATATGAACGAAGCTTAATCCTCTTCGTGTTTGTATAGCAGCTTGAGTATTGTCTTGAAAATATCCGTCTTGCCCATTTTTTAATACGAAAGGGATATATATATTGCTTGTAGACATAAGAATCGTGTGTCCTATCAAGACCTGCAGCCAGCTTTCAACCAACTCCCAGTGCTCAGGTAAAGTGCGAAATTACGTCGTATGTAAGCGATGAATCGACCAAGGAAAATCAAGTCGGAACGAATCGAGGCAGTACTCGTACTCTCTTCGACTTGTTAGTTTTATTGTTTAGGAGTTTATGAGAGAAAGCATGTTGCCAAAAAAAGGGAGCTAAGATTGAATTGGACTTCAATTTTAATTAGTTTAAGAGTTTTAATATATATCTTTTTAGTATAACTAATTACAGGAATTACTTATTACTTGAATGAATTCTTATAAAGTGCTTTAATTCGTCTTTAACGCAATGTATTTTCTCTCTCCAGAAGCCTTACTGACTGATATCGCACGGTTTACAATATCAATACGAAATATGGCCGCATGTCATAATAATTCGTATAATATAATATATATAAATTATATTTTCTATATGATCTATACGAAAGATTATCAAGTGATAATATAATTTATTAAATAATAACGCAATACAATCACTCTTGCGAGAAATATTATTTCTCGGAATTTTATTACGAAGAAAACTTGTTCTTAAAATCCCGATCGATCTTTTTTAGATCTCGTGTATTGTGTCGAGAATAATATTGAAAAAAATTCCGTTTATTTAAAACATTTCTGCCGAGCGAATTCTAGGATACCACAACTATGTTTTATGATGCAAAGTGCCTACTGAGTATCAAATGAGTAAAGTTTGCGTTACTCTCATGTAATCTACGTAATTGCTGCCACGTAATAGTAAAATATATAGAGCTACGGAAGAGGAGTGTGTTACGTTTAATACGACGATAAATGTCTAAAGATAGATCGATCAGAGACCGGGGAATGGTGGACTTCGTAATAGAATACCGAGGTGCGGTAAAGTTTAATTAATTAGTTAGGACAGTAGCAGACATAGTAACGTAGTAAGACTTGGCGGTTGTGTGATGGTGGTAGTGGTATTCTACAAATCGTAGTACAACAATTCATTGCCTAAGTAAAATTTTCCAATCTGTTTTCATTATTATTTTTCACCGTGATATCTCTCGTATCGTTACTCTGACGACAATTGCGTTTATTTCGCGTGATTTAATAATAATAAGACGTCTAAGAACTGATTCGTTCCAATGTGAGGTCTTGAATTTATCTCTCGAGAAAAACTGAAAATCAACGCAAAATTGATTGATCTCTAACAAATATATATTATATAAAATACAATTCCCGATAATTAAAAACGCGAAATAATAGCGTATACTACATCTCGTATACGACCTCCGAATACTTTCCAAGTCTCTTCGTGGAACTTTGCTTCAATTATTGAGGCATCTAAGGAATGATCATGGTATCATAGGATAATTTTTTTATAAGAAAATTTTATAAGATAATTTACAATAAATACAAAGGAAGTGCTCGGTGATATTTTTTTTCTTTTTTTTTTCGTAATCATTAATCCAACGAATGGCCGTTCATTCCTAACGAGATTGAAACAATTTAGACGCACCGTCGAGTTGATGCGTGCACGTGTTACGCATGAAACATACCGACGAGGAGAGCACGAATACGATCGAAAAGTCAGGAGGTTCGCAGGTGAAGTGTGCATCGATGAACATGTGGATGGATGTACTTGTTGAGTGAATGAAGCGACAGCCTGAATGAGCCTGAGGAGAAAGGCCGTTGAAGAGAATGACAGAAACGCGAGACACGCGCTGCGCTGCTCAATCGCCAATTTGGCAATTCGAGTTACTCTCTCGGATCTCACCACTCAGTCGACACGAAACGATCACTGAATTAGACGCGATCGTGCATTGTGCGCTTGTGATTTCGTAATCACGAATCATTGAGAGCGTGAAAGAGCCCTGATGTTAGCCAAGTGGAAAAGGGTCACTTCTATCAGCCGAGAATCTTGTATTTTTATTTTAATACATGCATTATGTTAAATGCGCGCATTGAAGTAAATAATATTATTTCTTGTTATCTGTACATTTTCTTCTTCACTTTAATATATCAATTTATTATAATCGATTAATTAATAATAGATAATTTCCCGGTGAGTTTCTTTTCGATATATTTATGAAATTATTAGTATTTAATTGTATAACAGTTTTAACTGTTAGAAATTTTTACAATTTTTTATATCAAAATTATGAAATATAAAATTGTGAGCGCTCATTTTTTTCAAATTTTACTGCTTCAATTAAAGTCGTCTCGATTAGACTATATTTAGTTCTTTGATAAGAATCCGATCCACGAATCCAATTCGCGACTGCGCTCGATACAGAAATTAATTGCGCGAGTATGGCTTATTGTTCTTGTGCACAACCAGAGGCCGCAATGGTGTAGGGCTTTAGAAAAGTTGACGAAAAAATAAAGTGCATGCGACTGTGTTTGTGCCGTATAATATGTCGGTAAGCCCAATGGGCGTGCTGAACGCCTCGGCACGGACCGATTGATTCATTGATCTATTGACGGTTCCAGCACGCCGACAGGAAATCATCAAGATGACTGAGCAATTGATCGAGAGCATCAACACCGGAGATTTCGAGGCATACACGTAAGTAACGATATAATTGTTTGTTAAAGAGGGACTCTCAAAGGACCATCCTGTACGTTTGTAACGATAATTGCTCAAGTACTGATAAGTTTACGATGCTTATATAGATTTTTCCTAACGTCAAAACGAGAAAAAAATCTATTTCAGATTATTTAAAGGATACTCTGATTTTTTAAATATTGAAAATAGAAAGATTCGAGATATCATGTATAAAGTTTTTGTTAAAGAATACATTATTCGATGAAGCTTTTTACATGGATATCAATATTTTATCAATATTTTTGTTTTACATTTTATATTTGCTAAGCCACTATTACTATATATTTACATTTCATCAACATGTATCACTTAAAATTGAATTTGGACGATTGGCGATTAATCTGGTAGAAATAGCTGATGCTCCCGATAATACTGTATAAGGCTGATACAAAAGAAAAACACCATATATTGAATAAAAAGCCTCGGCTGCTGTTTTTAAATGTTACTTTAGATTTTTTTTCAATGAAACAAAAACTCTTTCTGCTGAAGGAAAAATGATTTTAAATTAACTGAAAGTGAAAAATATAATATATACACATGTATGCATATATGTAGTATGTATCTTTCGGTTAATTTGGAATCGTTTTACCTTTAACAGAGAAATTTTTCATTTCATTTCGAACAATGTACTATTAAAAACCGATATAATAAAGATAAAAGTATCATTATAAAATTATTACAATGAAAAGGATACATTAATCCCTTTTTGTGCTTTTAGGAAAATCTGTGATCCACATCTGACCGCATTCGAGCCGGAGGCTCTAGGTAATTTAGTCGAGGGAATGGATTTTCACAAATTTTACTTTGATAATGGTAATTATGACTCATTGGCATCATCATTGTAAAATTTTATTTTTTTTTTTATAGACAGTAATTTTTTATATGGACACAATTTGTAGATATAATATATTCGATAAAATAAAATATAAACATTGTAGCATCAATAAATTTTAAATTAGTGAAACACGGTTATGCACCTTTTGTAATTTTGTCATTCTGTTTTACAACTTTGACATCTAAAAAATGAATTCTACAATAGAAGAGATTTTATTCTTTTAAAATATTTAATGTGTATTTGTATTAAAATATCATATAATAAAAAAATTGCGCATACTAAAGCGGTTGCACCGAAAATTAATAACGAGAAAATTAGAGTTATTTCTGTGAAATGAATTTCCTGGATGTTTATAAATATTCTCTTATATTTTGCGGCTTTTGGAAATTCAGATTTTATGAAAATGAATAGAATTAAATTTCTATCGTAATGAATAAATCAAAAGACTTTGCATGAGCTATTTTAAAAAGTTTCCATGTAGCGCAAAGTTTGTTTGGTTTTACGTAACGTAGAATTTTCTTCGAAATATACAATTTTTATTTGTCCGGCTCCCTATTTTTCTTCGTGTTCCGCAGTACCCCATCACGGACAGTAATAGTTGATCTCTTTCTCCTTGTTTCTTTTCTTTATCCCTCTCTCATTTGTTTGTTTCTCTGCAATATTTTGACTTGTATACAGTTTTTATATCGCATGTTAATATAAATCACAGTATTCGAGTAACTTTTTATTTTGTTTCCTTACAATATCCTAAGCAGTCTTGGGGAAGAACTGTAAGGCGGTCAATACGACAATCCTGAACCCCCATGTTCATTTGCTGGGCGAGGATGCTGCTTGCATCGCGTATGTCAGGCTGACGCAATACATGGACAAGTGAGTACATATAACAACGGAAAGGCAGTCAAGCGTGATCTGAAAATTAGATGATGCGATCGGAAATGCAAAAAAATCGCAATTTATTCAAATTCATTATAAATAATAGCTTTTAAGTTTTTATTTGATATTCGAGGAGACCAAATTATTCTTCACCATCCGGTTCTCAATAATTGCAAGATTCCATTGTCGCGCATGTGTTATTTTATAACTTTCTCTGTATCTGGAGAAATCTAATATTGCAACTTTCCAAAACGATTTTCCGTCCGCGTCTCGTAAAGTAGTTCAGTTCAAGTTTCGTACTATCGTATATACATCTCTTTCGTTTTGATCCTCAGACAAGGCGTAGCGCATACCCAGCAAAGTGAGGAAAGCCGCGTATGGCACAAGAGGGACAACAAATGGCAGAACGTGCATTTTCATCGAAGCGCGGTGACGGGTCCATCCCCGTTCTCTTTCAACCACAAATAAATCGGCCAAGAGGACTGTCCTGCTGCCGCTCTCGGCGAATGCTCGTTATCCCCCGATAGAGCGCGAATGAAGTAACGAAATGTTAGGAATACGGAACACAACGTACGCGGGCATCCTCACGAAGCACACACACACACACACACACACACACACACACACACACACACACACGCGCGCGCGCGCGCGTACCCATAGAACACGTACATAAGAACGAAGTTACATACGAACGAAGAGAACACACAACGACGTAATGCGGTATTTGAGAGAGACAGAGAACACGAGGTAACGCTACTACAGTAACACGAACATACAAATACATTTACATATAGTACCAAACGCGACAAAACCGAAGATGTGGCGCATCCGCCGGCATGTATTACTTGCTCCAGTACCTGCTCAGCGTACTTACTACCTATATTTACGCGTGCACACCCACCGCACCAAGTGTGCCTCGGAGCCTCGACGAGGGAAATATGTGCGCGAATCATTGGAAGCGCGAGAAAAGAGCAGAGAGAGAGTCGGTCAATCGATTGTATTTGTAACGAGCACCGAGGACACGAGGTAGACACTGTCCATTGTCGGTTAATGAACGCGATCGCGGCGGAGA